TCAGTTTATTGTTTAAAATGTTCCATTCGTGTGCATATACTGGATGTTCAAATCTTTTCCTCTAGGAAAAACATGACCATTCCAACTTGGCTATGTAATGTGTGAAGTGGATGCACATCGCAGAGCTGGTGCAAGACGAGCATTTGTGGTTTAAAAGTATATAAATTAATTTTTTTTTTTTAATAAAATGACCGATCGTTTCGCTAGATAAGACCCCTATCCTTCGGCTGGGATCGTGTAGAGCCCCTTGAAGCTGCATTGAAACTGGAATTCGGACCTTCAGCCCGTTGGTCCCCTTTGAAGTCCATTATATTGAGAAAAATCCTGGAATGTTTTCTGGAATGACTGAAGAAAGAAAGACATGAACATCTTGGATGACATGGGGGTGAGTAAATTATCAGGACATTTTAATTCTGGAGTGAACTAATCCTTTAAGTTTGGATATTTCATTTTCACGTCTATCTTAAAAACTACTCGCCAAACTCACATTTCAGTAGCAAATTTTAGATAGTTATAAACCCCCAAATTACATTAAAAACTCTATATTTTATGTCGGTCCAGCCACTGAGCATGTGCAGTGTAGAGCAAAGACTGTTTCTTGACACCAACCACTAAACAGCTATATTAAGCTGACAGCAACTGCACCGATGTTGTCAACAAACAGCAAGAACTGTCGTAAATACCAAACAATGACTTTGCAGATTGCTGATTGGCTCTTTTATTTGGAACCGCCTTCTTTCTGTCAAATTTCTTTACTAGGGCTGCCATATTGGCTGCCAAATTCAATTTCTCCCATTCACTGTAATACAAGTAGTATGTCTCAGCTGCTGCTATTCATTAAATCTGACTGAATCCAATGATTTAAGCTTTAATTTGTGGTGTACGTGCCATTATTTGTAGATTAATTACCACATGGATGTAAACATGGCTTCTCTTCTTCTGTAAATTAGATTTCACAATAATTAAGAAATAAGTCGTAAAGGGGTCATAGGATGCCCATTTTCCACAAGTTGATATGATTCTTTAGGGCCAACTCCTCATAATTTTTTTTTTTTAATATGGCCACTAATAAAACAAATAGTCATGTAGAAACCACTTTATTTTCTGTGTAGAGCTGCAGCTCTGGTGCACAGCAGAAATTCTGTCAGCGTGAAAGCACGACGTGAGCCTGCTGCGTTGCCACTTACTCGCTGGTTAATCATGTGGTGTGAAACAGGCCAAATGCAGAACCACAGTCATACTGTTTTCAGCGTAAACTGAGCAATGACTGCATAATGCTTGATGTGTTACTGGTGTAGCCCACTGCAGTCACCTGTCTAGAAACACATATGACGGAACGACACCGGCTGAATGAGTCAAGCGAGAGAAGAGGAAAGCCGTCTGAGAGACAGGGTGGAGACGTGAAGATGAGCAGACAGCGCCAGCACAGGACAGGGACTGTCTTCATGTTGACTTGATTTGTGTGTTGCGGGCAAACATATCGTAACACTGAGAGATTACAGCTGTTTTTACATGTCTGCATGTTGATGTGTATCAGCATCAGACGTAATATGGCTTACGGCATTCTTTGAAAAGCTTGTATGACTAAAGACTTGAATATACTACATGACTTTTAAAATTTGAACAGATTTTAAAACACTCATCCAAGCTAACAGGGAATGTTGTCTCAACTTTCACTAACATTATATAAATGTTAGAACAAAGTAATGTTTATGGAATATATTATTAATATTTGATATACGTTCTTGTAACGTTGAGAGAAAATGTTCTTAGAACAACAATCTCGGAACGTCCTTAAGATGTTATTTGCACTTGATGAAAGTTGAGCATGCTGAGAGCAAAGTAAACATTCAAATAATGTTATATTTTGGGTGAAAATAAAGTACATTTTAAGAAACGTTTTGTAACCTTCAAATAACGTTATAAACACGATAGTAAAACGATAGTAACATTCTTATTACAAATAAACATTGAAATAATGTTATATTTTGGGTGAGAATAAAGAATGTTTTAAGAAAGGTTTTGTAACCTTCAAATAACAATATAATCATGACAAGAAGACTGGACATTGTAATATTTTAGGAACATTTAGAAACAATGTTCTCACAACGTTTACATAGCCTAAATGTGTTAACCTAAATTTGGGATACACCTACCGACTTTGTAAATAGTTACAGGGGAAAAACGACACTACCAGACAAATTTTGGTTCAACTAAAAGAATAACACAAACTCAGATAATGTTTTACTTAAATTATTACATAAACCACATTCTGTATTAACCAGAAATAATATTGTTAGCAAATGTGCATGTTATGCAAGTTTACAATGGCTAGATTCAATAATAAGTTACAGACAGCTATCCAGAATTATTAATCTCAGTCATATCTAAATTCACAATACTCGTTGCACTGTTTTCGATGAGTTGCAGTCTGGTTTGAAGGAGGTGCTAGACAGTGGCATTTCATGGCTCTGACTGCAGACTGTGATTTGATTAACATGCAGTGTGGCTTTGCAATCATTCAGCGATATTTAGCACTGATTAAAATCCACTTTATGCATATGGGTTTTGGTGTTATAGTAAGTGTTTGAACATGAATGCAGGGTTTGTAGAAATGCATTGGCTAGTATTGGTTTGGTGAATATACAGTATGGACTGTCCATATCCACTGTCTGGTAACAGGTTTCAGCCCATCTCTGTTTATGGATTTTATGTAAATGGAGTCTGGCCTGTTTGACGCAGAACAAAGCAATAGACTGTGAGCAATTGTCCGTCAGATGATACGCTCAGACATGATCCCACTGAGTAAGACGGCTTAGATCGTCGGCTATAGGAACATCCACTCTCAGATAACAGATCTGCTCTAAAATCTGAAGAGGCACCTGTAAATGAGACACCTGGAATGATGTAAATAAAGCTCAACTCCGCAACTGAGCATACCATGAGAATTCAAAAAGGAATAGTTCACCCAAATGAAAATTCAGTGTTAATTTACTCACGCTCAGGCCATGCTAGATGTAGGTCTTCAGAATAACATTGAAGATGATTTTTAGCTGAAACCGTGGTTCTTGGTGATTCATGATATGCAAGTCAACAGCTTCCGTCACTTTGAGAGTCAAGAAAGTAGGTACAGGAAGCACAAACTTAATACCCGTGGCTTCTGACGATACACTGAGATCTTATGCAATGAAATGATCGTCCTGTGCAAGAAACGGAGTATTATTTACAACATTATTACCTGTAATCCAGAGCCTCGGGCAAACGGTTCTGGAGCTCAAGCTGTCTGATGCATGATGACGTATGTGCACAATCATGCCTGAACTGATGCCATTGTTGTTTACAACAGAGAGGAAGGATGCGTTTGCAGACCAAACACCTTCAAAAGCAGTTTACCACCAGCAAGTAAAGCAGTTTAACAAAACCTGGCATTACAAAGACCGATGATGCCACGTTCTGCACACACGTCCTCCCTCTCTGTTGTAAACAACAATGGCGTCAGTAATGCATTATTTTGCTACCACACATACGTCATAATGGGACAGAAAGCGTGAGCTCCAGACTCTTGTGAGCGTGCAGAAAACCATTGCAAAGACTGATTGCATGGCTTTATAATACCTAAATATATCATCATGAGCCATAAATATTACTTTTGTTTCCTGTATATTCTTTTTTGGCTCTCAAAGTTATGGCACCCATTGACTTGCATATTATAAATCACAAAAAAACATGGGTTTAGTTAAAAATCATGGTTAATGTTCTTCTGAAGAAAGAAAGTCATCTACATCTTGGATGGCGTGAGGGTAAGTAAACAAATTTTCATATTTGGGTGAACTATCCTTTAAATCATAGGCCTTCAACCCTGCTCCTGGGGACCCACTGACCTGCAGAGTTTAGCTACAAACCTAATCAAACACACCTGAACAAGCTAATCAAGCTCTTCAGGATCCCTTGAAAAGTCCCAGGCCAGGTGTGCTGAAGCAGGTTGGAAACAAACTTTGCAGGACAGTGGGTCCTCATGAGCAGAGTTGAAGACCTTGGGCCTCATTTATAAAATTGCATAGAAATCGTTTGATCTTACGATCATTTCTCAAATGCGTGTACGTGTGATTCAGAGAACGAACGTACGCACAAAAAAAACATGCGTATGGCTCCTTCAGATGTGAAATTTATAAAGCACAGATGATCTTGAAATTGTGAGCAGCTGAATGCTTTCAGATCTCTGCTTGTAAACGCTGCCTAATAGATGTCATTAACATAAAATAGAGCACCAGTCAACGTCCAAATCCTTTAACTGATAAATGCGAGCAGCAAGAATTGCTTAAATTTCTAAATACCTGCAGTACACTGCCTAGACCCCGTACGTCTGCCTAGACCCTGATGTGCCGCTAAGCACTTATCCACGTCAAAGACTGTTTTTATAAATCTGAACACTGGATTTTAAGTGGCTCGTCTCTCATACAGTCTCACGAGTCCGTTCCATTCAACACCTAATATTTAGTTATGACAGTATTTATAAAACTGAATGAAAACCATTTCGATACTGTCAGAGATGGGGTTGATATCACTTTTTCATATTTCTTTTTAAACAGCATCACCTTTCCCCTGTTGTTACTGTGTAAAATGTTGAACTGATATAAATATACTTTAAGAGAAAAAACAAATCAATGTGTCGGTTCAGAAACCGTGTGAATTTGTTATGTCACTACCAAAATTAAATTAGACATGCAATTACACTCAATGAAACCGCTTCTTTAAATAAATATTTTATTTTCAGTGAAAATAAATACATTTTCTTAAGATAGAATCAACAACATTTAAAAAAAGTATTTGTGGGAGCATGGCGACAGTACATGACAGCACACAGTTTGAAAGAGAACATACAATCGCATCTGCGGGGTGGTCACAGACTGACAAACTCAAGTAGCATTAATTTTAAAGTTTCACATAGTCCATCCCTTTAACAAAACAACAACAACAAAAAATGAACATGATTGGATCGCTGGGAATGTGAAAAATAATTTAATCATCAATTACAAATCTACAGATCATTTGATTTTTCTTTTTCTAGATGTGGTTTGTTTATAATTATCCAAGTATCACAAATGACAGAATAAGCATATTGGGGAAAACATTCCAATCTCTACTGATACAAGAAATACGGCTGACGAAATCAAAGTCTGAAACTTGAATTTTCCATTCCATATGTATCAGAGACTTAAACAATCAGCCAAGATGGAGTTGTAAAACACAGGATATGACCCATCAATTTGTGCTTTTTCATTCGGTGGCAATTTTCACCATTCCAAGCCGTACGTACAGCAGTTACCCCAGCTGGGGCGGGTAGAGTTGAGGGAGTTGAGCCTAGCTCTGGTAGAACAGATTAACCTACTAGTACTGTACGCTGTGCTATTTCCATACCAACCCAACCCCCACAGAGAACTCAACACAAGAACTAGCAACGTAACGACACAGGAAGTACTCCAACTCAGCAGGGCAGCCGTTCCCAACTCTTCATTACACCCTGAGCGATAGCAAGCTAATGAACATGTCCATTTTGTGTTTATCAGGCCATCCGAGATGACTGACCATGCTGACCTCAATTAATAAAAAGGTTGCAAGTGTAATTTAAATGTAATCAGGTTTAAACCTGCATTGTTTGGGGAGCGAGGAAGGAAGCAACATTCCGTTCTGGTTTGTAAGTTTGGCTTTCAATGCACCAATCAGGAAATGTGTGTTATGGTTGGTTGGTTAGTGGTTGTTTCGAACAGTAGTTGAATGATTGACATTAAGGTTCATTTAGAAACAAGCAGAAGGTTTAATTCTTTATTCAGCATGTGGCTTAATGGAGACTGGTCCACGTTCTTCACTACAATAAGAAGCGTATGAGCAAACACTACATAACAGCTGGAGTTTCGATGTCGCCTCTTTGAATCATACAAAGACAGCAGTTTCTTCCTCATTCACAAGGTAAGAAATGTCTACAGTGAATATTTATCAGTATCGGTTTAAAAAAAACTATAAGGCAGTTTTACAGTTCAGACTCATCATCTCATCAGCAGGGAGCACAGGCTCAGCATTTCGTAAGGGAGGCTACAAAACATTCCACCATTTTCCAGGCAAGACAGAAATATTCCTGAAAGTATCAAGACACATCCTATAGTGAATGTAAGACACTCATTTCGGGTCTTATTCAGTTAGATGTAGCACAAAAATGAGTGTTAAATGTGAAAATTTTTTACTAGGCAGTCATCTTTTGATGGAAGAATGGAAACACTGCGCACAAAGTATGTTTCATACCCAACCGCTGCCACCTCACCACCCCCTTACCATTTCAAATATCATTAAGAGCTACTGGAAAAAACAACCCGTTTTGAAGTACCAGCCTTCAATTCCCACATAACGCACTCATTCAAACAGCTTTTTATCACAAGTCATGGGGTTAGTTCGAGAAAAGGCAAGTCTCTATCACCACAGATCATGTCTGCTTTTTGGTAGGTGTTATACATAAATACATTTCTAAATGCTATTGATTCTAGTTGCCGCCTAAGGATGCAAAGCAGTTTCTGCAAAGTTCCAAGCAGACTTCTTTTTCCACCATGCAAAGTTACATTCAACCCTGGGACACTTGGTCACATCAATCCAGGATGACCAATGGGACAAGACAAGGCCTGCTCGCCAAAGCCAACTTGCGCCAGGTTCTTCTTCAAAGACTGAAGAACATCCAGAACTTGAAGTCTATGCCCTCATTGAAAGACAGCGTGCACTAGCACAGCTTCACAGATACGGAGAACCTGGTTGTTTTAGCTTTTCTTGTCTTGCCCCAGCTTTTTCTTGGCGTCCAAGTCCTTCTCTAATTCAAGAACCAGAAACAGAACTTCAGCAGCTGACAGTACTTGGTTGCTGCTTGCACACAAAGTCTGAGATGAAATCAAACTCGTTTTGTCCAAGGAAAAGCTCAGGCAACTCTTGAACCCGGTCCAGCCCGAACTCCAGTACCAAGGACGTCAGAACCTCCTCATCAATCAAGTCCATGTCCATGACGTTGAGGCCCAACGCTGGCCCACCCATGCCCATCTGCATGCCTGCCAACTGAGCAGGGCCCATCCTGTGCTGGACGTTTCCCATGTGATGCCCATTCATAGGCCCGTGAGGGTGTCCGTGGTACGGAGTATTGAGTTTCTGAAGATGCATGCTCGCCATAAGCTGCTGAGATGCTGTAAGGCCTCCTCCACCCATATACTGCTGTGGGTGCTGGTTCTGGGGCTGCATATGATGGTGCTGGGTTTGAGGGTGACCCTGCGGTTGCTGATTTGGACTTCCGTACATCATACTGGGTTGCTGCATTTGGTGGGGGTGTCCACCGCTCATCTGGCCATTGACCTGACCGTTCATGACGCCGTTCATCACGTTCCTCTGCCTCATGGCTGCCTCCATGGAGCTCTGGGGCACCCTGCCGTAGTGCATGAGCTGCCCGTTAGGAAGGGCCCGCAGACCGGGCTGGTGTCCATGCGGAGAAGGGCCGTTCATTCCCATGCGATACCCATGCAGGCCTCCTCCTGCAGAGCCGTGGGTCATAGGCATCATCATGTGTTCAGCCATGCCTTCTCAACTGCAGAGATATGAGAAGAATGGCAGCAATGAGGAGCAAATATTCAAGCAGGTTCTCAGTATAAGCTGACAAATACGTTCAGTTTCTTGAAAACCATCAGTAGTAAACTTTATACCAATATTAGGATGTCTGGCTAATCCATTTGGGCTTTAAAGATCAGTCTTATATGCTTGTTAATCAATTGCAATTGTCTTGTTTTCCAGTAAAAATACTTACACATCCTTAAAATTAGATACATTTACTTGAGAAGCAAAATGACATCAAAATAATAAGAATTTTCACAAGTAAGCAAATATCTTGTTTTAGCTATATGTTTTTGCTAATATATATTATATATATGTATACATACACACACACACACACACACACACACAGTGGGTACAGAAAATAATTGCCCCCCTTTAAAATAACCACATTTTGCTGCTTTTGCAGCCTGAAATGAAGATGGACACAGTTTTAGTTTTTTTCCATGCTGTATTTACTCAGTGCAACTTATGACATCCAAGTGAAAAATATAACACCAACATGTCAAAAAAAAAAAAAAGATTCACTGAGTTGGAAAAAGGATCACCCTTTTCCTTGGTGATCCTTCTAAAAATGACTTGTAAACTCAATCAGGTGTAGCTAATCACCTTCTCAATGACACACAAAGCCATTTGACTTTCAACTGTGATCAGCTGTGCTCATTTTGATAAGCTCAGCATGAAAAGG